AAAAAAAAAAAAAAAAAAAAAAAAAGCAATAAAGTAATTCTCAGACAGGCCAACCAAGCAGAATTAAAAAAAAAAAAAAAAAAGCAAAAGCTGGACTACACTGTTTTATGAGCCTTTCTGGACCTTCTGGAGCTTTTTTGTCAAAAGAAAAGAAAAAGTCACACCGAAACAAACCTACTGGCCAAACAAGTACTAAAAAACTCCCAATAAAACTAGGAAAGAATTTGGAGATAAGCCAAGCCCCATGTTCCTTGGTAAACTAGAAAGTAGCTTACTCAACGTTTGTATTTTATGAATCCTAACAGCCAGAACTCCTGCGGCTACCAAGAACCGTGGGGGAAGCACCTTCCATTCCCATAAAAGGTCTGGAGGTATGGTCCAAACAGACTGTTTAGATTCAGCAGATACTAAGAGAGAGGACCTGGGAACTAGTATGAAACAGATGTATAATGCAGTTGACAGGCAAATATAAGATGTTTCAATATGGCTCAATCAGAAGACCTCATTTAAAACTAAAGCCTTTCTAAGCAGATTCCTTGCAAAAAACCCCCCACATATGAGACTGCTTTCAGGTAGGTGAAATCATTTAGCATTCACCGTTTCAGGAACTATGGTTTCTAAAAAGAGTCTGAACAAGGGATGGAAGGAGTCTCAACCCACTGTTCAATACACATTATCTTGCATAGAAGACAGGCAACCTCTTTGATTGCCGCAGGGACGCATTTAGAGTTTCTCCTGTTCTTTCTCTCTCTCGCACACACATACACACACAGATTTGCCAGCTCCCTATTCCAAATATCAACAATTCTTAAGGACTCAATCTAGCTCATGGCTTAGTAGTCTTCTTTCTCATACGACTCATGCCAAAAGATTCTGTTAGATGCTGCCCCATTTAAAAGTCTTTCTGGGGCCTTTTCAGAGCACTGGAGGAATTTTTCATTTGAGGGCAAATTATTTTGCTCTCAACACCTTCCAAGAATTAATTAGCAGTTGCTCCACTCATCCAAGTGGGTAAAGCACATCCCTAGAAATGGCTCACTACTGATGTAATATCAAATTTGCAAACGTATCTAAAAATGAAAAAAAGTGCTGTGTCCTTTCTGTCAGCCTGAAGTCTGTAATATTTAAAGGCAACTCAGTATGTACTGGTACTGATGTCCAAAACGTAACCAGACTCCTTCATTTAAGTATGGTGATGATGCATCCCTGGGATGATATCCTGAATTCTGTTTCCTTCAAAGAGGTTTACTTCTTCAAAGTCCAGAATGGTTCTTAGAACCCATAACTCCTTTCATTAAATTAAATCTCTCACTCTTCAGATAGCACAGACAAAGTGGCAGGAAGATGGCCATTTTGGTTACTGCTACTATTTTGGTAGCACTGTGAAAGTACTTAAGAATCAATTTTAATGTACACCCCAGATCTCAATAATTTGGATCATCTATTAGATATAATTTATGACCCAAGTCTCTTAAAAAAGAAAGCTAATCTACCTAGTAGGGTAAGTCTTCAGGGCTAAACACCAGGACACTGCTCAGGAATTCAATCCTCTCAAAAATCTACAAGCTTCTTCAAAAAGGACCCAGAGTTCCTAAGCCTGGGGCTCTCGATACCAGTCTAATGGGTCAAAGCCAGCTAGGCAAGAAATACCAGTTCTCACATTTAAACTCCTCCAGACATGAGAGGAGTGGAGGGCTGAGAGATCGGCCTGAGGGATTTTGGTGTAGCTTTAGTTTCTGTTTCCTTAGATGCTATAGCCTTCAGTTGCATTTTGAAAAGATCCCTCCCTTTCTCAACAGGTGAGTATAAACTTCTCCTGAACATCTTGCTAGGATCTGGACACCCACACCCATGCGCACTTGCAAGCATCAATCCCTAACTTGGCGGCTCTTGCTACTAAGTGGCAAGCATCAAACGCCACCCTCACCTGATGCTTGGCCGTCTCCAAACCCTCCAGAATTGTCGTCTTGAAGTCCTCCTGCTTGCCCTGTGGAAGGAAAGAGGAGAACTCAGGGACCTTACTCCATAAGTTAAATCATAATGGACATAAAGGCCCAGCAGCTGGCGATTCAAGTATTAAGCTTCACCAACTAAAACCATTTTCTGAGAAATTTATCTTCTGGAATCTATCCGGGGCACCAAACTCTAGTCTTCTACAGCTTTCTCCTCGTTACTGAAGCCTTTTACATCAGGTTCTTGTGGGAAACTTAGAAGTACGTAGCATGTAGTATTCCTGATGGCTAAATACTTATGATCAGCTTTATTAACAGCTGGGAGTGGAATAATAAGATTATAAGTCTTACTACCAGTCTGAAGATTGGGCGGATGGATACAGCCAGAACCTCTGGGTCTGAAGCTGCAAACGCTGGGACAATCTTGCTCTGGATATTCCTGCAGTTCCCTAACTGAAAGAGGACAGTGTGAACCATTCTGTAAAGCCTCTTCCTTCTCTTCCACAAACCTTTCCTCGAAGCTTGGGAGAAGAACCATGAATCCTATGAAAGGTTCAGGCCAACATTATCTGCTTCACTGCCCCTGGTTCACCTACAATTCATCAGAACACCAAGACAACCTTTGAAGTTGAATGCTTCAATACCGATGATGCACAGATCGTGAACATGGACATCTATACGCCCAGTGCTGTAAGGCATTTATTTACTGAACAGTTTCAATATATTCCAAGCTGGAGGCATGAGGAAATGTGAAACATCCAGCTGAGAGATATAAAAGGGTCTAAAATTTCCTCAGCCTGCCAACAGGTTCTATACAATAGACCTGCCTGGACTGAAATATTATTTGGAAACTGAGTAAACCTAAGAACAGGGAAAGTGCATCTATAATGCACACAGGAACAAGCTGGGAGGCGTCACCTTCTACTGCATCACTAACCTTCAACGGAGAAGCTATCAGAGGTTAGCTCGGAGGAGACGTGTTTCTATGATTAGATGTTGCTATCTTCTCAGCCCAAATAAACCCAGGAAATAGTGAGGGATGCTTTGGAAACACTTCAGCACTATTTGGAAGTCTAGACTCATGTCAAGGCTCCTTCAAAGCAGAGTGCTTCAAGGGAATGTCCTGACACCCAGCAGACCAAGCAACTCCTCCTTCAGTGCAAACATCTCATGTATCGAGTGGACCAGATTTACAGGGCTCAAGGTAGCTGGATGGGACAGCAGCCTTTTCCTACGTCCTAAGGGTTCAAGGTGACATCCTCAATCAGACTGCTCTGACATCCTCAATCAGATAGCAGACTACACCAAGGTTCAGCACACAATGGTTCAAATTCTTTGTTAGGGTTTGATGGGTCTTTTTGCTGCAGCTGGGATACAATTTGAAGTTATTAAATTCGCTTTTTAATCCTAGTTCAATTAAGAATGCAATTCCCACTCCAAATCTAATCTCTTAATAGTAAAATGAAAGATATTTGTATCCTTTCGCATGCTACTCATGTGCTTAGAACTCCCAAGTTCACAAGGAAAATAAAATTAGACAACAGGAAACAGACAATCAAAGAAATGTAAACTAACAATTTGAGAAATAAAATGCCAAAGAGTCTCACAGAAGCTGCTTTAGGGCACTTGACATGCATGACCCAAGAAGGAGATGCCCAAGAAAAGTATTAGTTATCTCTATGTTTCCTCCAGAGATGGTGCCAGTCCACTCCCAAATAACAGTACTAATATATATGCTGCATGTGGCTTTGCAGAGCCCCATTTTAAATTTATCCATGGTGGAGGAGTGATATTTTGTGCTATTTAAGTGGGCTACTGTTAAGAGAAATTCATTTCCTTGATTTCCAACTGTTGCACTTCATACTAAATTTACCTAAGAAGGGGTTGCTGGGGAGGGCTGAAAGCTAAGCAAGCAGAAAGGTCTGCTACAGAATTTTAGGCCTAACCATTTACACAGATTGCTAATACTGTATCCTTTACAGAAAATCTAAATTGTACATGACGTACAAGTGTACACACTATAACTTTAACTATACTGACAATCAACAACCTATGAATCTACTTGTGTGTTGCTATGTAGTGGTAACCCATAAAAAGAAGCCTGAATCGAGTGTAGACCTAAAAAGAAAAAAAGGCTGAAGTGTTAAAATGATCTTTTCAATTTTGCTTGTGTGACAATGAAGAACGTAGGATAAGGAAACAAGCATTCACAAGTCTGTGCCAGGACAGATAGAGAAGGAGATAAGAGATGCTTCCTTCCAGGAAAGGCATTTTCACAGCAAACAGAAATCTTGTTTAATTAACAACTTCTAAGACCACTGGTGAACCAGTTTCACACTGGCTGCTCAGAATCTCAAAGAAAACAAAAAGAAAAAAAAATTATTAAATTGACCGAGTAGGGGAAAGATCCAAAGCCTGCTCTACTACCTCTAAAGATCCTGGACTACATAAATGGAGATTTAGCAGGGTAAAAACAAAAGGTGCCAAACAACTATGAAAAGGGCCACAAAAAAAATACAAGAACAAAAACACTATTCCTGGCTCTCCCCTGTAGCATTGATAATACTTTGCACTCATATTTCAGCAGTAACTGTGCTACTTGTTTGTATTTAGAAGTTTAAGTACATGTGCACTGCTACTGATAAAAAGGGCTTTAACAAGTTCAGGGGTCATCCTTAAATCCCTTGCCATATTTGAAGGTAACAGTCAACATGCAATAGTTTGCAGAAAATTATGGTCAACAATTAGCATCCTTGGGTATGACCACATGATTTAGAGGTAACACACCCCAAAAGCAACTGATACTAACCAGGACAGGGGTTGCAATGTAAGAACAACTGGAAGGTACTCTAAAGACAGTACAGGAGGACTGACTAAGTAGGACCGGGAACAGATTGCCATACCTAAACAGTGGTCAGAGGGACAATCATATGGGCCATTTGTAGACATGCTCACCATTTTCTAAACAGAGTTAACTGTTTTGTGTCACACAGTCCAAATCAAATTTCAGTTTGAATGAAGGGTTAACAGACGATCACTGACCACCAGGGAGGTCTTTGTGCATTTCTGTACTTCTGCAGCAGAGATGGCAGAGGCCGGAAGACACCACAAGCAAAAACACTACTCAAGGCCACAAAACTGTACTCACTTGCTACACCTGGTGGTGAGCACAAGCAACAGCAAGCCCTTAGATACCTGCCATGTATACAGGTTAATTAATACATCTTAAATTGCCGAGTGTGGGCTACCCTAGTCTACATTAACTTTCATCCTCATTCAGTGAAGATTACTTAATTTGGATTTATAGATAATTTTCATTCCGATGACAGACGTCCACATATATATAGTGACGGATGTAGTCCGGATCAAACCTAGAAAAATGTAAAGTCTATAAACGGCCTATATGACTAATGTCCCTGCCTTCTATTTGACTTCAGACTAACATGTCTTACTATCTCTACCATACATTGTAACAAGGAGAAAGTTTAGAAGCCCAACAGGTTTCAGGAAAAAGAGCTTTAGAAGAAAGCGAAAGAGGCATTTTAAGAAAACAGTCCTAAACAATAACAAAATGAAGGATCAAACCATAAAAGCAGCACGTGAGCAAAACATGCACATGTGTAGTTTGATTTGAAAAACACTAAGCAGAACACTTTAAAAAGGAGCGTTAGAAGTGGAAGGACAAGTAGAAGGATGAGGTATCTAAGCTGAATGAGTGGAACCTGCAATACTAAAAGCCCAGAAATTACTTGATGGTATGACTATGGAAGAATTAAATGAGGAAAGGAGAAAAAGGCAGAGGCAGAAACTGCTCCAGTGATTCTAAAAACAAACAATTCAGGGGGACCCAGAAAGATTTATAAGCTACTTTAAAAGCCCATATTGCTATAAGCAAGCAAGACAAGGCTAAGATTACGGTAATTATTAGTTTCAAGAAGGGTGAAGAGAGAGAGAGAGAGAAAGCAACTGAGTTTAAGGATAGGTATGACTTGTGCTGTGCTGCAGATAAATGATTTAGCCAATAAGGATAAGACAAATTTTCCCTAAATGATGACTATGAACAAATCCCAATGAGGAGAATTAGTAAAAAGGCTAAAAAGCCTAAAGAAGTTGATGCTGTACAACCTGTGAACACTTTCATCCCTTTATATGGGGAGGAGAAGAATTTGTATAATGGTGGGGAAAGAGGCGGGGGAAAACAAGCCACAACCTACCATGTAACAAATTCCCCATAACTCTAGACAGGCAGAGGTACCACTGCTATTGCTACCACAGAGGAACTCAAGAAAATCTTTTTAGACATACGGGCATCAGAGTATTAAAAAAAAGAACGCTCATAAGTCCGTCCTCAGGGGCCACGTGAAAATGGTACTGGAAGGATTTTTCAGGGGAAGTCAACAAAGTTTGGTTAAGCAGACCTGCAAGTTAAAAAGGGGTTAAATTTAACAGCAAGCAAGGAATTTACAGCTGAAGCTAGATACATTCAGTTGTCTTAAAACTTACAACCTGCAAAAAAAATGGAAAGGCAGAAGTATAAACAAAAATGGAAACTTAACATGTATCTTGGCAAACCTTTGCCTGTTAGCGGACTAAATAATGGTTGGCTAGTAATACAAAACTACCAGCCTTCATTAACCTTTAAGAATCCAAGAATAATCTTGACTCTCATTAATGCAATGAACTAAGGCCCTGCCTAAGAAATGGTCTTAAAATCATGCATGTCAAGATAGGTTTTAAATAGTTTTCTCTTTAATCTAACTTCGCCTCAATTTCTCCATTTTTTAGGGCTCCTGCAAAAGAAGGGGAAAAATTACTTCATTTGGTATAACAGTTGGGACCATGCGGATCTTCTTTATTATATTTGCTTTATACATATTTTGTATGTCATGTGATACATGACAGATAGAACATGATACTAATTACGTAACTGGTTTACTTTGTAATTGGTTGCAAAAAACATCAATTTTATGGACATAATGATGTTAAATATACTTATAAATTGAAAATATTAGTACTATTACTATTGTTAGATCAC